TTCCCAATACCCCACCCACCACCCCCACCTTGAGTGAGAATAGGATCCAGTGAAATACAGGCAGAAGGGACCAACCACATACAAGGTCCAGCCCTAACTCCTAAGGGCATATTTGGTGGTGATGGAATGGTGGAAGTATCAGTCTGGCCTGTAGGGGGACCAGTCTCCTCTTCAAGAGAGCTCCATTATTAGCAGCCGCTATTGAGTGAAGAAGTGCTCTGTTTCTGCAAGTCATCTTGGCAGGACCCCTCCTCACCCTCCTGGCCTAGCTGGCTGCCTGGAGGCTTTCTCTCACTCCGCCAGGGCCAGCCTTCAGCCACGGACTTAAAACAGAGGCCACCCAGATTCAGGAAGGCCCGTGGCTGCCGGTGAAGGCGGCTGGAGGCAGGGGGAGGGAAGGGTTTCCAGCAGCTCCACTTTCAGTCCTGCTCCTCCACTCCACAAAGGGCCACTGTCTGAGCACAGAGGGACCCTGGAGGGAGGCCTCCCAAGGTGCTCGGCAACAGGGCCAGGTTTCATCACCCTGGGCCTTCGGGCCAAGTAAACATCGGGGAGGAACAGGCCCAGCAGTTTTGCAAACAGGCTCCCAGCTCTGCAAAGCTCAGTGGCATCTTCACTCTTGGCTTCCCTGAGACAATGAGGAGGGCCAAGGTCATTTGCCCAATTTTCTCTAGAAATGGGAAATCTGGATGAGTAACTGGGTGTATCCTAGTGCACATCCCATTGCCCAAAGAGCAGAGAACCATCCTATCCCCTCTTCAGGAGCAAACGTTTTACATTAGAAAAGTAAACTTTTTAAATTCGTTCAGAGGAAAGAAAGATCTCTGTGAGCTTAAGGAATCAGGGAAGACTTCCTGGAGGAAATGTGATTTAAGTGTGATCACCCTCCATGTTCAGGCAGAATCCCCACAACTGGATAGGAAGAGAAAGATGTTTTAGGCAGAGAGCACAGCACTGACAAGCTGCGGCATCTGGAAAGCAGGAGCACTGGGTGCCAATGAAGAGACCTTCCTGGCCAGGGTAGAGGATCCATGTAGGAGAAGGTGAAAAATAAGGCTGGACAGTTGGTTGGGAGTTAAACCATAAATAGCCTTTGTTTTTCTTTAATATATTTTTACTGATGTCAGAGAGGAGAAAAGAGGGAGAGTTAGAAACATCAATGATGAGAGAGAATCATTGATTAGCTGTCTCCTGCACACCTCACACTGGGAATTGAGCCCGCAACCTGGGTAAGTGCCCTGACAGGGAATGGAACTGCAAACTCCTAGTTCATAGGTTGATGCTTAACCACTAAGCCATGCTGGCCAGGCATCATGGCTAATCTTAACACCAGAGTGAGGAGACATTACAATTTCTGAGTGGAGTAGTGATGGAGTAAAAGCTTAGTCTTAGGATGTTATGAAAAAAGTCTTAGATTGAGCCCCAAACTTCTGGATAACCTTGGGCTGGTTATGGCCTATCTCTGGGACTTCGTTTCTTTATCTTTAAAAGGGTTACACCAGAGAATTTTTTTTTACCAATAGTTTCTTTCCCATATATTGAAAAAAAAGTTTGATTTACAAGTTCATTTTTAAAGGTGGGAGGCATTTTTCCCAGTAGAAATGTGTTTTAGACACAGTCTTTTCCTTCCCAAGCACTCACAAAGGCCTTCTTAAGTCACAATGTAGCTGCACTACAGTAATGTCCTAAAAGCTCTGTGGAAAACTAAGTACAAAGCATAGCAATGTTTCTATGAGCTAATGCAGAATTCACATTTGCATCTCCAGGAATGGGAGGGAGTTATCTCAGCTTCGAGTCCTTGGGCCCCTTCCGTTTGCACTCAGAGCTTCAGCAGGGCAGGGCCCACACACCAGAGAATCTTGAAGCCCTTTCGCATCTCTAAAATGCAAGGATCCTCTGATGGGACAACATGGACCCTATTGAATGAAGAGGCTGTGGCCACACCCCAAATATATCTGGGCTGCATTTCTGCAATGAATCATCTGCTTAGAGCTGTGGAAGGGCCATCACTACTACCACTGTCACCAAGCACTATACTAAGTACTCCCCCCTTTTTGAAGACTTCTTTTTTGTGAATAGAAAATACATATATATATACTATAAAATTCAACTCATAAAAAGATATATATATGGCCCAGCCAGCGTGGCTCAGCGGTTGAGTATCAACCTATGAACCAGGTCGATCCCTGGTCAGGGCACATGCCTGGGTTGCAAGTTTAATCCCCAGTGTGGGGCGTGCAGGAGGCAGCCGATCAATGATTCTCTCTCATCACTGATGTTTCTATCTTGCTCTATCTCTCTCTGAAATTAATTATTCAATACTATATATATATATATATATTTAAAATATATATATATATATATATTTAAAATATATTATATATGGTAAAAATAAGCTTTTCTCCTTCCTCTATTTCCATCCACCTATTTCTTTTCCCACTATTACTAGTTTCCTAAGTATTCTTTCAGATAACCTATGCATATATAAAGATTCTATAAAGATTCTTTTTTGTCAGCAGATGATTGAATCAAAAAACTATGGTACATCTACACAATGGATACTATGCTGCCATAAAAAAAAAAGAAATTCTTATCATTTGCAGCAACCTGGATGGAATTGGAGAAAATTATGCTATGTGAAATAAGCCAGTCAATGAAAGAAAAACACCACATGATCTCACTCATTTATGGATAATAAGGAACATTATAAGCTGCTGAACAAAAAGATAGCTACAGAGACAGTAAAGCAACAAACAGACTGTCAAATTACAGTGGGGAGGGGAGGGAGATATGGGGGAGATAAGAGATCAACCGAAGGATTTGTATGCATGCATATAAGCATAACCAATGGACGAAAAACTCTGGGAAGGGAGGGCATGTATGGGAGTGGAAGGGGGGATTAGTAAGATATATACACATATAATACCTTAATAAAAAATGGGAAAAAAAGATTATTATTTTTTTTACACAAAAGACAGTATACTAGACACACTGTTCCATGCCTTATTTTTTTAACTTGGAAATTCTGGAGACCTTTTCATATGAGTATGTAAAGAGCTGCCTCATTTTTTGTATGGCAAGACCATGACTTATTAAACTTGTCCCCTATAGGTAGATATTTAAGGTGTTTCTTTTCTATTGTAAACAAAGCATCAATGAATATCCTCAACATCCACCATTCAGTACATGCTGGAATAGATCTACAGGATATATTGCAGAATGAAAGTTCGTGCTAAACTTTTAATATGACCTAATATAATAGTTTAAAGCAATGATAATTATACTGATTATGTAAATGAGAAAACTCAAGCACAGAAAGATTCATTGACTTGCTCAAAGTCACACAGCTCTTATGTAGTAGAGTTGAAATTCCAATATGGATAATCCAAAATCAGAGCCAACACACTCAACCATCCCACTATTGGTTCTTAAACCTTCAATTGTGCAAGTTGTTCAAAAAGAAAGCAGTTGGTACTCAGCACCTGGCTTTGACAGGACCAGAGTTGAGCACAGGAAAGGCTTCCTGAAACCCATAAGTCTAAGCTCCATGAGGGCAGGGTGAGAGCATGACACAATAAATACTTATTGGATGGCCGAGACCGGTTTGGCTCAATGGATAGAGCGTCGGCTTGGGGACTGAAGGGATCCGGGTTCGATTCCAGTCAAGGGCATGTACCTTGGTTGCGGGCATATCCCCAGTAGGGGGTGTGCAAGAGGCAGCTGATCGATGACTCTCTCTCATCAATGTTTCTAGCTCTCTATCTCTCTCCCTTCCTCTCTGTACAAAATCAACGAAATATATTTTCAAAAAAAAATACTTATTGGATGAATGAATAAATAAATGAGGTATAAGAAGGTGCTGCCTCTTCTCCCAGCTACCATGGCTGAAATTCAAGTTCATGTTGTAAGATCCTGTTATAGACCGAACATTTGTTCTCTCCCCAATTGTCTATGTTGAAACCCTAACCCCAATGTGATAGTATTTGGAGGAGGGGCCTTTGGGAGATAATTAAGTTTAGAAGAGATGGTGAGGGTGTGGCCCTGATGATGGGATTAGTGTCCTTCTAAGAAGAGCAAGAGACCAGAGCTTTCTCTCTCCACCATGTGAGGACACAGTGAGAGTGCGACTGTTTGCAGGCCAGGAAGCAAGCCTCACCAGGAACTGAATTGGTCTGCACTTTGATCTTGGACTTTCTAGCCTCCAAAACTTTGAGAAATAAGTCTGTTGTTTAAGTCCCCCGATCTATGTTACAACACACCAAACAGACTAAGACAGAGCCCTTGGGAATGCAGCTGTATCTTTCCTCCCTTCCCTCCCGTGGCGTATAATGAAATCAGTGAGGCAGCCAGGCTCTGTTATTAATGGAGAGACAGCATCTCAGAATGCTAGAGCTTGATCAGGATAAGTTACTCCAATGCTCTCATTTATTATCTATAATAATAAAAGGATAATATGTTAATTAGACCAGACATCCTTCCGAAGCTGGAGAGAAGCCCAGGTCCCCAATGCTGGAGGGAAGCCAGTGCCAGCAGCCAGGGGAAGGAAGGCCTACTCTTGCATGATTTTCGTGCATCGGGCCTCTAGTTATTAATAACAATAGTTATAATTCATTTTACACCCATTCCATTGACATGCTTACTTTTTTTTTTTTTTTTAATCCCTCTAATCAGTATTTCCTTCCCCTTATTCTGGTACCCAGCTTCTCCTTCCGGAGGGTAAATTATTCAATATGGCTGATGTGACCAGTGCACATATGCACACACACAAGCTATGGGAAAGATTTAAATTCAGGAGAAGATCTAAGGTCTGTGGAATGCCCCTTCTGCAGAGCAGCAAGGCACAGACTGAGCTTTCCCACAAAGAGGGAGGAACAGTTTTCAGGGTCATGTATTCTTGCCCTGAAGCACCTACCATATTTTTCCATGTATAAGACACCTTTTTATTTTTATTTTTCTAAAATCAGACTGAAATTTGAGGGGTATCTTATTCGTCTTATACACAAAAGACAGCTGAGGAGGGAGCCACAGGTGCCAGCTGCCCATACCTTGTCAAACAGGCTTCCTCCAATCACAAGCCTTATTGTTACTGGTGTCAGTTGATGCCATAATTGGAGGTGGAGGTGGAGAGTGTGCAGATGAAACAGGGACTGGAGTGTTCAGAGCTCATAAAGATGTCAAAAATTAAAAAGATAAATACTGGTAAGCTATTGTCTTATTCTACAAAATTCAAACTGAATGTAACCAGCTATGCAAAAGAGCATGGAAAGAGAGCTGCAGAGAGACAATTTGGACCTCCTCCCGCTGAGTATATGACCAGACAGTGGAGAAAACAGGAAGAACAACTCCTTAAGATGCCAAAAAAGAAGTCCTTAAGAGGAAAACTAGCAAAATGTTTAAAATATAGATTTCTTAATTTTGGGTTGGAAAAGTGTGAGTGGGCTTATACACGAAAAAGTATGGTACATGCCAGCCTAACTCCTCTGGGTGCTGACTCAGTTACAAAGAGCTTCCTGAGCTTAGGAACCTTGAGGATCCCTGTAGCTTCTTCCAGCTGCTCCCCACCTGGCCTCAAGTCCTGCTCCTGCTGCCTGCCTCCCTCACAGATCGTCCTGGGCTCCTTTCCCTGTTGGTGCCCTTTGTGTGGACCCCCCCCCCCCCCCCCAAGGCTCAGACTTGTAACTAAAAACGCCCAGGCCCCAGACCTAAGGGGCCATTAGTCAGGGTGAGACTTTGAGGGATCAAGTCAGTCCGATTCAGTTGGCCCGCTGTATTTTCAGGCAGGCAATCTGATTCACCCCACAGCTCTTGGGTGCAGATGTGGTCGGCCACCACAGCGGTCAGGCAGGCAGAGTCAGACACAGACTTCGCCAAGCTAAGTCACACAGCAGAGGGGATCATGGAGGGACTGTCAGGCTGACTCAGACATTCAGCCCCTGAGACGGGGTCACCCAGAACCAGCCAGCCGTGTGGATTCAGCCATACGATCTGGCAAATAGGGTCCGTCCACCCACCAGGGTGGGGGCTAATCCTCCTTTCAAAAGCTGTAGTGAGGCCAATCAGCCAGGGCGGTGGGCAAGTCTCAGGAAGTCAGGCGGTTAGTGGTCAGGGCACTCAGGCAGATGCGCTCAGGCCCGGTGCAGCCATCAGCACCTCATGCAGCAGAGGTGGTCCAGCCGCCGGCCCAGGGGAATCCGTCATTGAAACGGTCAGTCAGTCAGACACAGGCTGTGGAGCACAGACAGAGCCTGGTCAGTCAGTCATGCAGTCAGCCCCTCAGACAGCCCGCCCCTGTCAGGCCCAGAGGCCAGGGAAGATCTTAGTCAGCCGGGCAGGTCTGGTCTGGGTCCGCCGGGCGCCTAGGAAGGCTGTGTTCAGTCAGACACCGCTGGAGACGCGGGTACCAGGCGGGGATGGCGGCGTGCTCAGCCGGACAGCGGCTCTGTCAGGCCCTCAGGGAGCCAGTCAGGCGGCACGGTGGGCTCGGCCTCGGCAGCCTGAGGCCCCGGCCCCGCCCCTATATGGGCGGAGCCTTGGCTGGGGCGGGGCCGGGGTTGGGGGCGGGGCCTCAGGGGCAGGCCCGCCTCCCCGTCCCGGCAGCCTCTGGGTGCTGTTGCGGCTGCCCAGCTGCTCCCCGCCCCGCCCCGCCCGCCTGGATCCCAGGATTGGAAGGGAGGTGGGTGCGGCCTGCGGGGGCCCAGTCCCATTGCCGCAGGGTAGGCACCCCTGTCACCTCCTGGTGCCGATGGGGTGATTGGGGGACCAGGAATGACTCACGTTCGCAAGATAGTGACAGACCCCGCACCTCCGCACCCGCGCTCCTCGCTCCCGGCAGGAGGGATCACTCTTCTCCAGGCGGGGGGCAGGGGGCGTAAGAAAGAGCAGCCCATGCAATGAGGCGTTCAGGGCTCTCAGGCTTAGTAATGAGTAATGCCTCCGGTGAGCACTCACTTTCTACCAAGCACTGTCATAAAAGCTTAATGTGCGGTAATTCACCTGCGCCTCACCGTTTTCCTTTAAGGTTCCATAATCTGTTTTTTACATGTGAGGAAACAGCCGGAAGCACAAGAGGGTTTGGTGGCTTGCCCAGGGCCAGGGGTCTGTGAGGTGGAAGAGCCAGGATCGGAACTCAGGCGGGTTAACTCCTGGCTTTGACTCGTGGGCCCTTAAACATACCCTTCACCAGGCTTCCCTGATCCATTTCAGGATGCCCAGCCTAAGATGGGCTCTGCAGGGCGAGGGTCCTGTTAGAGTCTCTGCTTCAATGACACAGAATAAGGAGCAATCAAAACCAGGAACCTGGCAAATGACAAACCATGGGCCAGTCTCTCAGGGTTTGGAAAAGGGAAGGCGTTTGCCCCTCAGCTCCTGCCCACGGTGTTCTCAGACTCCACCCATCTCCAGGCTTCTAGTTGGGTAACACTAAGTCAATGGACATCGTCGAGCCTCAGTTTCTCCATCTGTATAATGGGAAGGAAAGTTCATCTTTCTCTCACAGAGTGACATTTTAGGGGGCTCAAACATGTTGAACGTAGAAAATATTTCATGAGCTATAACATCCTCGGTAAGGGGGGGGAGAGAACACCTGCCTGAGTTCTGACAGTGCTCCTTTGTGGCACGGCTCCTCCTGTACAGAAGAGAATGCCACTCAAGGAGTTTGTTGACTTACCCAAGGCCACAAGCTTCTGTGTGCTGGAGCCTGCTCTGGAATTTAGGATTGTCTAACTTCCAAGACCAGTCTCTTGTATCAATTGTTTCTCAAAGTGTGGCTTGAGGAACATTTAAAAAATAGTTATATAGCTGTTGTTATTTTCAATTTTAGAGGAGGCTGATTGATACTACCAGCCCTAAATCCCTTTCAGCCAGGCTGTGGTAGGCTGCATTTAATGGCCACCCAATGATGCAGAGGCCCAATCCCTGGAATCTATAGATGTTACCTTATTCAGGAAAAGGATTTTTGCTAATGTGATTTAAGTTAAGGGTATTGAGATAAGATCACCTAGGATTATCTGAGTGGGCACTAAATGACAGAAAAAATATCCTTCTGAGAGGCAGAGGGGGGTTAGACAGGTACACGGAGAATAGGAGGCAATGCAACCGCAGAGGCAAAGACTGCGGTGATGTGGCCACAATTCAAGGAATGGTGGCAGCCACCGCAAGTAGGAAGAGACAAGGACAGATTCTTCCTTATAGCCTCTGGAGGGAGCCTCTTGATTTCAGCCCACTAAGAATAATGTTGAACTTCTGGCCCCCAGAACAATGAGAAAATAAATCTCTGTTGTTTTAAGCTACCAGGTTGTGGTAATTTGGTTCACAGGAAACAAATAGGCAGATCTACATCACTTCAAAATTCTCGCTTTGAACCATTAGCATACAACCCCCTGTTTTTAAGAAAATAAACATATCATTTAAAAAGAATTCTGGCCCGCTGGCATGGCTCAGTGGTTGAGTGTTGGCCCATGAACCAGGAGGTCAGGTTCGATTCCTGGTCAGAGCACATGCCCAGGTTGCGGGCTCGATCCCCAGTGTGGGGCATGCCGATTGATGATTCTCACTTATCATTGATGTTTCTACTTCCCTCTCCCTTCCTCTCTCTGAAATCAATAAAAACATATCTTTAAAAATAAAATAAAAAGAATTCTGTATTTACAAAAAAATAAATATAAATCTTTGATATAAAGACTACAGATTTCCCAGAGCACAGAGAGTTCCTATATACCCACCCCCAATAGCTTCCCCTATTGTTAACATCAAGGTGCATTTGTCATGACTAAGAAACTAACTTCAGTATTTTCCTATTAACTAAACTCTACACGTTATTTCTATTTCACTACTTTCACTACATCTACTTTCTGTTCCAGCATCCCATCTAAGATATTACATTACACATTTAGTCATTATGTCTTTCTAGTTTCCTCTGGCCTAGAACATTTTCTCAGACTTCCCTTGCTTTTCATGACCTTGACAGTTTTCAGGAGTACTGGTCAGGTATTTTTATAGAATGTCTCTCAATTTGGGTTTCTATAGTGTTTTTTCATTCTTAGACTGGAGTTTTTCATTCTTAGACTGTACCCCATCAGATCAGGGGTACATGCTCTCAACATGACTTGAGTACCTGGCCAAGACAGTGCTTGCCAGGTTTTCTCCCTGTGAAGTTATGTGTTTTTCCTCCCTTTCCACTATTCGGAAGCAAGTCACTGAGTGCAGCCCAGACTCAGGGGAGGAATTAAGTTCTTTACCCTGGAGGGGGTAAATTATTTGGAATTCTTTCAAAGGAAAATTAGTCTCTTCTCCCCATTTATTTATTTATATCAGTTTGGACTCACGGATATTTAGTGGGTACTTGGGACTATAATCTAATACTATGCTAATTTATTTTGTGGTTCAGATTGTTCCAGCTCTGGTCAAAGGGAACTCTTGTGTCCCTTTGACACCAATTGTTTTGCATCCTGATTGCACCAAGTTAACTTCAAGTGGAACTCAGATGAACATAATTTAAGAGTTGCATTATTTAATAGACATTCAGAAAACATATAACCAGCACATCCAATTGGTGAGTTCATCAGTACTGCTGAGGACAATGCTAATGTAGTGACGGTTTTACTTAAATGCCTCTTAAATCCATTCACAGATAGATATTAAGTCAAACCTGGTCTTGGTGTACATAGATATGGAGGAGGCTGTTAAGCTGATTTGGAAATAATTCATGTTTCATAAACTCAGACTAGGGCAGAACCAGTCCCAAATTCAAGCAGTGAGGAGGAGGAGGATTATGAACAGCCTCTCTGGGACACCCCACTCACACACACACACAATCCATTTCCAGGACCCTGCTGCCAACCAGACCTACTGGGTGCAGATGTGTGCAGATGTTGATAATGGTGAACCATGCAGGCCCAGGCCTGGGAGGAGTGGATGCTGCTCTGTGTTTGTTTCCCAAGAAAGCTGTGTGGGTGGCTTGCAGATCAGCACCATTCCCGCTAATGAGCTTGGAGCCTTTGACGTAACACCCTTCCGTGTCACAGGCCTGATATGTGATGTTTCCTGAGAAGACTCATTATTTTTACTTTTTTCCTTGTCTCATCCTTCATCTGAGATAGGCAGAAAGACACAGTGGCGTCAGTGGTCAGACTGGGTACTCCTCTGACTCAGGATCTTGTCTGGGGTCTCTAGGCCGGTCCCCCACCCCACTGAGGATGCTCAGAATTGAACTGGAGCATGCTTGACTCACAACAGAATCCTGAGCCCTGGCCCAGGTCTGCCTCCCAGCTGAGCAGTGACACCCAGAATCTCTGGCCTGATCTGAAATGGAAAGCCTTTCAAAAAAGAAGACTTTGGCCGAAACTGGTTTGGCTCAGAGATAGAGCGTCGGTCTGCGGACTGAAAGGTCCCGGGTTTGATTCCAGTCAAGGGCATGTACATTGGTTGCGGGCACATCCCCGGTAGGGGGTGTGCAAGAGGCAGCTGGTCGATGTTCATCTCTCATCGATGTTTCTAACTCTCTATCCCTCTCTCTTCCTCTCTGTAAAAAAATCAATAAAATATATTAAAAAAAAAAAAAAAAAGACTTTGTTTGGGGGCTTCTAGTCTGAGCTGTGCCGGCTGCTGGCTGGTGTGTTCTCGGGCCTCTACACCCTCTATGGTACCTTCCCAGGGAGCCCCAGTCAGATGACCTGGGTTAGAATCCTAGTTCTTCTTGTGAACTAGACTAGTTACATAGTCTCTCATCTATTAAAGGAAGGGAATACAAGTACCTACATCATAGAATCACTGTGCAAATTAAAGGAGACAATATATGTAAAGTGCTTAGCACAATGCCCGACCCATAGTAAGTGCTCAATAAATTTGCTCATTTGTTTAACAATTATTAATGTCTATTGTAGGTCAGTCACTGTTCTGAGTGTAAGAGACATAGGGGAAAAGAAAAGAAACTAGTAAATTAATAAATAAGATAAAATATATAAAGCAAGTTATTTGCACAGTGCCTTATACATAAGAAGTACATAGACATTTTTATTATTATTAATAACATAATGAAATATTGTGATTAGTGAAAGAAGGAAATAAGTAGGGTGATATGATATTAACTGAAAGAAACCTCATTTAGAAGAGGAAGTCAGGAAAGGCCCTCTACAGAGACCTAAGATGAGAAGAAACTTAGCCTTGCTATTAGCCAGAGAAAGGATCATCCAAGTAGAGGAAACAGCATGTGTAAAGCCTTGAGGTCAAGGAAAACTTAGAGTGGGAGGAATAGCAAGGAAGCCAGTGTGGCTGGGATATAATGATGGAAGGCAGCAGGCTATGGTAAGGAGGTTGGATTTTGTTCAAAGTGCGAAGAAAAGCCACAACAAGATCTGACTTCTGGTTAAAAGTAGGAGAATGGATAAGAAGGAAAGAGTAATAGAAAAGTAAAAACAACGATGAAGAGGCTATTCCAGTCATTCAGACTAGAGATGTTTCTGGTCTGAACTAGGGTATAGATCAGCACTGCCCTATGACTTAACGGGAATGTGGAAATGGTCTGTATCTGTGCTTATATGGCACCCACTAATCACCTGTGACTCTTACTTCTTGGAACATGTCTAGTGTAGATGAGGAATTGAAATTTTTAATTTCATGTCATTTTAATTAAAATGTAAATAGCTTCTTATAGCTAAAGGCTACTATATTGGAAAGCACAGGGAAATGGCTGTGTTTTTAAATATACTGAGGAGGAAAACAGGACTTATGATGGTTGGAGGTTGGGGAAGGAGAGGAAGAATGGACTCAAAGAAGATGCCTCATTTTTTATTTGGGAACTGGGTGAATGATACTACAATTTACTAATTTTGGGAAGAACAGGCTCTGAGGAGGTATAGAGTCTTGTTTTACACAAGAGTAGTTTAAGATACTGTCGGAACATTCAAATAGAGATATATCAAGTAGAAAGCAGTACACATATTTGTGATTATCGTGATATTTCAGTTCCAGAGATACCAGCCCCTTGGCTGCTGCTTAGGAGGTAGGAAGCTCAGAAAGGGGGCCAGGAAACTGTACACTGAGACTTTCATTCTCCTAATCTTGGTTAATGTATTTTTATTTATTTCAGAGAGGAAGGAAGAGGGAGAGAGAGAAAAAAAAAATCAATGATGAGAGAGAATCATTGATTGGCTGTCTCCTGCATACCCTCTACTGCGGTTTGAGCCCACAACCTAAGCATGTGTCCTTGACTGGAATTGAACCTGAGACCTTTCAGTCCACAGGCCAACATTCTATCCACTGAGTCAAGTCAGCTAGAGCATTGGTTAATGTATTAACCACCCACCTAGCCAGTCAGTCCTGCTGTTTGAAACCTTGTGTGATGTGGCTTCTCCTCCCCCTCCTCTCTCTTCTCTCCAGATATTTAACTCAGGTGGCTTCTTTTTCTGCAAAACTAGAAACCCTCACCTCACCTGTTTTCTACTTCTGTAGCCACCACCGAGCTTAGTACTTTGTCACCTCATTGTGGACTAAAGCCCCAGTGCCCAGGGCTCTTGGCCTTCTCATCACTCCTCCTTTCTGCTTTCCAGCAGAGGGGTCTTTCAAACTGCAGAATTTTCCTCCTGCAAATCCTGTCTGAGTCTGTATCAAGAGAGTCTTGAGCCTGAACCAACCCTTTGATCTTTCTTTTCATTTCTCAACTTGTATCCAAAGGAAACCAGAAACCTCCACAAAGTTTGAAAATTCACAAGAAGGTTTATCATAGCATGAATTTTAAAGCTTGAAGTACACTAATTTTCAACTGTATCTTAGGTGACCTATCAGTAATGTTTGACACTATTGATAATTTTCTAAAATGCTTTCTCCATTTACCTCTAAGACACCACACTCTTATGGTTGTTCTCCTAACACTCTAGTCATTCCTCAGTCTTCTTTGCTGGTTCCATCTCATCATTCTGACCTTTTTACATGACTCAGCCTAAGATCACTCTCTTTGTCTATGTACTTTCTTGGTTCTCTCATGTAGACTCATAGCTTTAAAGGCATTCATATGTTGATGGCTCCCAAATGTATATGTCTAGCTCAGTCTCTCCCCTGAATGCCACTCATAAATCCAACTGTCCACTTGGTATCTCCACTTGAATATCAAACGGGCATCTCAAATTTACCATGTCCAGAACTGAACTCCTGATATTCTCCCCAAAACTTGTTCATCCCATGGTCTTTCCCATCTCAGTTAATGCCAATTCCTTCCTTAATTTTCTCAGGCCAAAAGCCTCGACATTATCCTAAATTCCTCTCTTTCATACTTCACATCTGGTCTATCAGCAAACCCTGCAGACTGGATCTTATATTTACCTTGAATTTAACCACTTTTGCCACCTTTGCTGTCTTCCTGGTACAAGCCACCATCCTATTTCACGTAGTTTTCACACTGCATGGCCTATTCTAACCTCTGCACTCTTGCCTGCTCACTCTGCTCCAGCCTCTTTGCAGTTGGTGGAACAGACCAGGCCCATGCACTTCAGCTTTAGAGCCTGTGCACGGGCAGTTCCCCTCTGCCAAGAAAGCTCTTCCACTCTACATCACCTCCTTCAAAAGTCACCTGGCCCCCATCTAAAACATTCTGCACTCACTGCATATTTTCTTCTATTTTTTATTTTTATAGCACTTTTGCTATCTACCCTTATATGCATTTTAAGAATTGTCTGTTTTCCCTAGTAGAATGCAAATTGCAGGAGAAAGACATTTTCAGGCGGGGTCTTTTCTTTCACTGTTGCATTCCCCAGTGCTTATGTGGCACGTAATAGTGCTCAATAAACAGGTCGTGAATGAGTGAATGAAAGGCTAGAGAGAGCCTCCTTGTCCAACAGCTGGAGTGAAGGAATCTTGAGTAAAGAAATACTGACGTTCAGGTATTCCGAGGCTTTAACTACTACTAAGGCTGCAAAGAACTCGCCAGAGGGCCTCTCACAAGACGCTTTCCGAGCCCCTCCCCCCTGCGGAACCTTTCAGTCCCGGAACCTTGGCTTGCGGGTCCGGGTGCAGGGCGCTTCCGGTTCCTCTTCTCTCTAGCCTGCGTAGAGAACTGCCAAGTCAGTTCCGGCTGGGAGCGTGGTGAGAAGTGGAGTGCGGCCTTCTCCTCCGGGCCCCTCCGGGCCCCTCCGGGGCCCCCGGCCCCCCGGCCGGCGGGTGAACTGGGGGGCCCGGGGCCGGGCAGACCCAGAGCCCTCCCCGCGGGGGCCACTGCCCAGGTCCGAGCTCGGAAGCAGCAGCGAGCCTCTCTCTCCACCCCCATCTCCATCTCCGCCACCCGATGGCGGTGGCCTCCCCCAGGCGCATCCAGTGGACTAGGGTCTCCAGGCCTAACCCTCCGGGGCCTAAGCGGAGCCCCCGCCAAGCCGCCGTGAGCAGATCCAGGACGAGACCAGCCCCCGAGGCCGCGCTGCCTTGAGCGACGGGCGTGGCGGGGCGAGAAGAATGGCGGCCGCTGGAATGCGCAGAGGGAGGCCGTTGGGGCCTCGGAGGCCGAGAGGCGGGTCTGCGTGGACACCGTTCGCCCACCCTCAGGCCTGGACACCTGGGTGGGCGCCTGGGGTGTCTCCCTCGTCCCATGTGGGGGAGACCTCACCTCGTCCTGACCACGATGGACAAAGGCCTTAAGGACCGAAGGTGAGCGGAGCCCCACCCGTGGCGGGTGGAGCGGTTAGCGGGCCTTCGGGCGGTTGGTCTTCGTTATGTAAACCCTGATTTCGGAAGAGAAATGGCAGAAGAACGTGCCACATCTGGCTACTAG